TATATATATATATACACACAAATAAAAACTTTAAAGATTGATGCCTAAGGCCAAATCTGTTCGACGATGTGAGATTGTTTCCTCCCTTTTCCTCTGCTGTACTTACCATATACTGACCACCAGGGAGCAGTGTTTCCAATATAATAAAGTCAGGCTGTCTCACCACCCTCCCCTCCTCACTCTGTTTTCATGTATGTAAGTATTTGGGCCAAGGGCAGATAACCATAAGAGGAAGATGGGCCCTGGAGGAGGCTGATGATGTATAGAGACATACACACATGCACATGAGACTGGTGCTAAAGTGCTCGAGCTGTTACTGTGAGCACAGCGTGCTATCGGGCTGAGTGGAGGCCTCTAGGTGGAACGGCCAGCTGCCTACGGAGCAGTTTGGGTGTGTGTTAAAAGCTGTTATGTCTCCCCCAAGGATTAACTCGGGTGTGTCACAGCCATTAACAGCATGTTAGCTACCTGAGCTGACGCTGAGAAACCAACCATCAACCATAATGACTATGCAGCACCTCTCTGAGTGTGTGTGTGTGTAGTCTTTATGATAGCAGAACGGAGTGTAAACAGTTTGAAGGCTATTTTCTCTACTGTCAAGTTAAAGTACATCTAAATGAAATGAGAAACAGTAAAAGGGTTTTCTGTGAGGTGAGTTGTCTTTTATGGAACAGTCTTTGGTGTCATGACCTCAGTGCCAGGGTTTTTTTTGTCACAGGGACTCTCGAAGGTTGCCTGCCAATCAAACGACGTCCCCATATGGCGATGTGACATCTGTAACCTTTGATTTTCTGTTGGAGAAATTTCTGTTAAGTGCTGCTCTTTTCTTTGATTTGCCACACAGGCTGTAACCACTCATGCTCTGCACTCAGCTGGTGTGTGTGTGTGTGTGTGTGTGTGTCTACAGTGTTCACAGAAGATTGAGTTGTACGAAATTCGAGAAAAAGAAAAGAGCAATGCTATCTTACATTTTGGCGTTGCCCAGTCCATATTTCAACATACTGTACGGTATAAAAGAAAAAGAAATTATGGCAAAAAACTGGCAGCTGTGGTTTCCAGAACTTTACTGTAATAAATACAGTAGAAACTTTTCTAATAT